ATCTACCCCACAAGTGGCAACCCATAAGTGAAATGAATGGGAGGCCGTGCAACTTAAATGATAACAATTTGCTTAGAGATACAGAGATAATCTTCAAGACTTTTAGCACCAGTTCCCAGCTTCCCTTCCTGCCTGATAAGGAAGTATGAGGGAGTTAATTGTGGAGAGAAAAGCAGAGCTGTGGACTGCCTGAGATGCTCATTTCCCAAAGGGACAATCTTTTGCCATGTTATTTCTTGAAGGTGGCCTCACAGAAGCCTTGATTAGGGTTCAAGTCAAGCCTAAATGAGAGAAATACGATGAATGAGAGTCAAAAAGAAATTACAGTGCACAGTGTTGTCAGCTGTTCTTTTTAACTTGTGAAACTCAGAACATGGATGAGTATTTAGTGGTCTTTTTAATGCAGTAACTGCTTTTCAGTGTTACTCATCTATCTGAGCAGTTGCTGTAGCTACGGCATAGCCCTGAGAATTAACAAAGAGGGAATCGTGTATTCTACCACGTTTCCTGGTCCATGTGAAATATTTCATGAACGCTTGTATACCCTAAAGTAGCTGTTAGCTGGAAAGATCTGTGAATGTATACACAGAAATTTCTTTGCTAATGCCAAATAGAGATTATCAACCTTAAATTTTAGGATTTATTTTGTTTAAATGCATTAATATACCCTCAGATATCTGTCATCCAAATGAACATTTAATTCTTACTTGAATCCTATGTTTCTATAGGCATTACGTCATATATGAGAATGTAGTCCATAAAATAAACCTTGTTAGTATTTCAGAAGTGCAGATTTAAGATAATTTATTTATACTGGTGCTGGCTGTTGTAAAGCATACCTGACACTAGGGGAAGTTTGTTTATGGAGTCAGTTTACTGGAAAATCAACGAGGTCAGAGCTACTCTAGCTCTAATATTTGGAATGAGTCAGATTTGACATTTCAAGTTGAAAAAGAGCTCAGAATTTAGAGCCAACTTAAGAATATACTGGATGGATGATTTTGGGAAGGACAAATTAGATCTCTAAATTGACATGCAGTGCTAAAACTAGGAACAGCTTGCCTGGATTCAGAAAATGACTAATACAGAAAAAAACTGAACTTATTTGGGAGAAAGGAATTGGTGTAAGGAATGTGTGCTAAACGCTGTAGGTGTTCTGTGCAGAAACCAAGGAAAGGGACAGGTATTGGGTGGCTGTCAATAAGAATATTACTAGTACAAAACCACCATGAAAATTAATCAGCTAACAAATTAATCAGGAGCTAAGAGGTGAAACAAGAAGAAATATTAATTTTAGATCTTACCCCTCCCAAACTCTGTTCCTGGCTGTCAAAGGGGTTGTCACATCGCAGACAGGATACAATTGCCATGGAGATGGTTATGAGAACTTTTCCTGTAATTTAGATTTTGGTGGGTTAATATTTCTTTTCTATGTTTCCATAAAAAGAAAGGATTATCTAAATGCTAGTTATGAAGTATGTATTAACATTAAATATCTTTATGTAGGGTAATTTCTTTTTTACTGTACCTATATACACTTTATATTATGAACCAGGATTAAGAGCCTTCCCAGTGACTACAGAAGGAAGCTGTAGTACAACAAGGATCTGATTGTTGCCAGTCAGAGGTTAGGTTGATGCCTGTAGGGTGATCATTCTTGTCTTTCTCCTTCTTGTAGCAGTTACGCACGCTACATTTTTATCTAAGGACTGTGAAAATTATTAATCTTCTTTAGAATGCTGGAAATCCTGCGCTTCATATTGTTAGTCTTCAGGTGAAAATTGTTCTTTTCCTTATACTTTATATGCTGTAATTATATGTCAAAAGATTTTCGCAGCCTTAGGGAAGGATGACCTGTGCTTTTAACAGCTGTTAAAATGTCTGTGAGCTAAGAATTTTAATATATATCATTCTTCAGGAAATCTGTATAGTGATCAAAAGGAGTATGACCCTCTTAGACAGAATAAGATAAAAGGTGCTTTTAACATCCTTGTTTTTTTCACTGCAAATTATATTTCTATATCTGAACTTGTGTCACTCTGTCCGAAAGTTTACGTTGTCAGAGCTTTCAGATTCTCCACTGCAATCTTTCACTGTCAGTTTTGGAATAGTCCAAAAACTTTCTGCCCCAAGACTTAGCTAAGAAGTACACAAGTAATTGTTATATTAAACGTCATTTGTTGACTGGTTACAACTCGCATGTACAGTGGAAGGGGTAATGGTGGTCCCTGTGCCAGAGGAGATACAGAAATTGTTCCTTCCTGGAATAAACCAGGCATGCAAATTATGGTAAATGGCAAGAGGGAAATTGCCCTTCTGTTCCTCTACCCTGTAGAGCTGATTATTGCCAGTGGTGCTGGAGAGAAGAAGGAGAAGGAATTGCACTGGAAAACAGAACCTCTCCTGGGATTTACTCAGAATGAAAAAGATTTTCCTTCCATTTCTGAAACATCAGTAGGCTGATTATTAGATGAGCAGCACTTGTGCTAAAGGATGGAGGAAGAACAGCTTTAGCTGAGCTGCTAGTACAGAAAAATACAGAACCTGTAGTTATTGCCAAATTCCAGAACGATTCTATCAAAGTAAGCCACAGAAGCAGAGATGAATGCCTGTTACGCTCAATGGCATATCCCACTCTGATTACTTCAGAGGATAGAGGACTAGGCCTAGTATAGCAGAAGTTTTGTTTTTAGCTGAGTTCAGCATTTTTCTGACCCTTGCACCTATGTACCCACTCTTAAGAGTATTTTTGTTCAACTAAGAACTTGAACATTGCTTCCTGCTGCTCTTGGAGCGGTTTTCTTAGTCCAGGTCACCATCAAAAACAGGAAATGTAACAAGGAAAAACTGTTGCTGGGAGCAAGGACCTAAATGCAGCTGGTGAAGACAGGTCGCTGTATCTCTTTTCCTATAACTGAGTGAGCAGTTCTCCGTTTGCTAACCCCAACTTCCCTACCAACCAAGAAAGAACAACCTGTATTTCTAGATCAGCAGATTCAGAGCCTCTGCTCAGAGTTGGTGAAATTGAGTTTGTAGGGATACCTTCTCTTCGTGTGCTTTCAAAAGGTTGAGCACTGTATATCATAGATGCTTCCTTCGTACTGGAGTCTGCTTTTTCCTGGAGTTCAGAAATCTGCAATAATTTTACAGAAATTTTTTGAGTTTGGGGAAAAAAAAAACAACCAACAAACAGTTAAATATAGAAGCTGACTGTGTTCAGGTTGTCTTGATGTTTCATCATTCCATAGGAAAGAAGGGTGTTACTGTGACTCGAAGCACCAAGATTTTTACTGTTTGCACCTTTATAAATCATATTAAAACTTTGTTTTCATGAGGACTGTAGGGGTCATTGGGCTGAATTCTCCTTACCATTGTCATAATTTTGATGTCCTTGAATTCAAGGTTGAGTTACACTTCATATGTGTACTGATCATTTGTTAATTATAGATGAAGGAACTGTACTGCAGCGTGCTGAAAATTTGCTTGCATCAAAGTAGAGGATACTTGTTAGTTCAGGTATTGAAATTTGTTTCACCTAAAAATTCCACTAGGATCTGAAACTAGTCTAAAGTAAGAGCTGGTGACTGTTCCTATAACAAACTGAATTTTCCTTTTTACACAATTACCATCACAGTTATTTTTGTTATTTGTGCAACATCATTTATAAGAAGCACTTTTCTCCTCTGTGTGTCACAATTTAGCTCAAAGCCATCTATGTAGATCTACAAGTAACTAAGGTCATTAACTGTGCACTGTGCTCATGAGCCATCACCCATAGGTTATTTTTTTTGTAACCAGTGCTGAGTGAACTGTTGTGACCTATTGTGATATACAAAAAGGTTTATAATTTCATGTTAGGTCAAAGATTTAGAAAAACCTAGGCAATGAATCAGATTTGATGTCATTATTTCTTGTATTTGTATAGTATTAAGACTTCAGTTTGCTGGTCTTCATTCCTGTTTATCAAAGTGTGACATACCTATCAATAAGCTTTGCATATAGAAGAGTGGAAGAGCCTTGCCTTGAAGCCCCACAGTGAATCAAAGCTTGAATACAGTGGTCAGTATTTCACCCTTCTGCTCTACTCTCTTTGATCATACCTGTGCTACCTGCCTTAAAGCTTCAGTAGCAGAGGCTTAGATAGATACACACTTAAGGCTTGGCTTTGGCTATTAAGTCTCAATACCATAAATGTCATGAGTAAATTAGTCATGTTTTGCTGTACAGGTAAATACACATCTTAGAGGGGATATTTTACAGTTAAAATCTATATTTTGGGGGTTCTATTTGTGATTTTTTTGTTTTGTTTTTCACCAGCCGTAATATGAATGATCTGTAGACATGAAACTTTATTCATTCTGGTGTAATGAATGTGAAATAGGCCATGCTTAATGTTAAAATATCAGTGGTAACACTTTGTTCAAGCATGAAGAACAAATCTAAAGCCAGACTTGATAAACTTAGCTGGTAAAGTATGAATCAAAACCTGTTAAGTACTTCCTGACAAACCAATCCTCTGATGTGAACAGGAGCTCTGTTGTGTGGTGGGTTTTTTTCTATTTCTGCTCCCCCACCATGGCTTAAAATTTAGAGCTCAACCCTGCGAAGTGCTGAGTGTCAGGGAAAGCCACGTGGGAGCTGAAATGTTCAGCATCTTCCAGGATTAGGCCTTTACTTTGGTCCACATCTTGTGCTTTATGCAATCTGTTGTTCTTGAACTAATAAATTACTTGCTCTTTCCCCTCAACCTGAAGACTAGGTTATGCTATGTTGATTCTCTGGTTGTAGAAGTTTATTCTTTTTCAATGCAAATAAAGTAAAGCAAGCCGTAAGGCATATTTTCCTTATCAGAAGATTAATGTACACAACTTGGTTCACTTATGTTGTCTTTTATACTGGCTTCCTTAAGATGCGATAGCCTTCTGTGTAATACTAGTATATTTTACTTGCTGTAATCTGATGTACTATTTCTCTCCCTTTTTTTTTTCTCATTCCCTAAGATTATCGTTGGAGAAACTGCAGTGTTTTGTCTACAGTTAGCTACAAAGGATTTTGAAAACCAAGAAAAAACAATATTAACTGGAGACTGTTGTTATATAAATCCACTGGTGCGCAGGACCATCAGATTCCTTGGTATGAGCAAAATTAATGCTTTCATTTTCTGAATGGTGAGAGTGATTAATTCTGTCTTAATTTCGACCTGGGGAAAGTATTCAGATAACCATACAACATTTCATGTATAGTCTTAACTTGGGTGCAGTGAGTTCACTCCTTTTGGGTAGCAAAGCTGCTTGGAAGTTTGGATAAAAAAATAGTTGCAGAAACAGTAGTAAAAGCAGAAAAAAAATGGGACCACAAGGGGAAAAACAACTAGTAGGTCTGCAGTAGGGTAAAGTGGAGAAAGGAGATATCTTTGTGTCACATCTGTAGTTGATAGTTTTCTTTTGATTACACAAACACATAGCAGCCAAAGTTGAAGACATTGGGATATAAATGTGTGTTTGAAACCAAGCCTGGAGTTTATTATCGTCTCTAGTAGAAAACTATACAAAATCCATGCTCCACTGAAGTTAGCTGTAACTCCCCCACTGACTTTATATGAGATGTCATCCTTTCTACTTTGTTCATTATAAATGCATTTGGAGGCAGAATTTCCACCACTCAAAATGTCTATTGAATATTCTCGGATGCTGCTTTTTAATACGTGCAGGGATGCCATAGCAGGGCTCAGTTCTCTTTGCTTCTCACTCACAGTTGTGTCTAAGAGAAACAGCTGGAGCCTTGGGGCAGCTAATTAGCTGAAGCCTTGGGGCAGCTAATTCCCGTGTGTGTCCCAGTTGCAGGGGGAGAGAGGGGTTGTGCAGCTGTGTCTGTATTTGCAGTGTTTGTGTAACAGCCATGCCTGCCTTCACAGAGCGTGATTGCTGGCTGTCAACTGGAGTGCTAAAAGTCATTAAGAATGAGACTGTCTTGCATAGGTCCAGAGAATGTGGGGAGTGATGGATGAGGAGCTCCTCCCACTCCAGTGTAATCAGTGTGTAATCAGTGCTCACTTGGTCACAGAAGAAAAAAATAAAAATGGAGAAGGAGGGAAGGGATGAACAATGGCCTCCACAGATGAGGCATCACTACCTTCTATGTGATGTGGCCACCTGTGTTGGGGCAGCACACACCTCAGGGCTTGTTGAAAGGGCTCTTTTGTGCAGTGACTCAGCTAAGCACAATGCACTGCTCATCAGTGTCTAGCAGCTCAGAGTGAATTAATGTTAGTGTGACATCGCTGACCAGCCAGGATTCCAGAAATCATCCTCAGTCCTTTACCTTTCCTGAGGAAAAAACCCTCACCTTTAGAAATGCATGTTTCTGTAGGATCATATCTGCTGTGGTGTACATCTATTAAAGTCCACATGGTGCCCCATGAAGTTGGGAACTGCCAGTACTCATGCTATATTCACAGTGAATTGAATTATGGGAAAGGTTGCATGATCTGCCTGTGGAAATATGGGAGGAAATCTGTAGCTCAGGTGGAATTTGAACATGCGCCTGCTGGCTTTGCCTCCCAGTCAGGGTGCTGTGTTTGCATTTCCTTTCACAGCTCATTTTCTGCTTCCAAAAGGACAGAAAGGGACCTCAGAATAGCAGAAAAATGTTTTCTTTTAAGTAATCAGATTCATGTATTTCCATTCTAATGAACAAGTACACATGCTTAATGCTTTGCTGATATATCTGATAACTCTTTAGCATAAGTAGCTCCTCAAATTTATAGATCTTCAGCTCACTGTGTTGGTATCATGATTAATATGCCATGTATAGAGATGTTCCCAGTAGCAGGCAGATGAAGACAACTTGCGCATGGCAATATTGCATTATTCGGTACTTCAGCTCCTTTACAGCTGCAAGGGAAAAGAAAATCTTTGTCCAGTATGTGTTACAACTTTTCAAGTTGCTTCTTCATCAGGGCCTGAGTTCCTTGCTTCTCAAGCAGATTTATAGGGTGAAGAATTTGTCTCTGTCACTTCTGTTTAGTGAACATGGGGAAAAGTTAAGTACTGGTATAGCTCGGTACCCTGAACAGTGGTGATTCATGGCTAGGGGGCCTAGGAAGGCAGGCTCCTTGCATAAGAGGTGAGGGTGCTCCGAAGAACGGAGGGAGATCAGGTGTGTGGGTCCGTTGCAGTGTTGCTGTTGCAGTTCTGTAGGGAGGTGCTATCTGCAATGTGAGCCAGGATCTTTAAGGTACAATACACATGAGGGTTTTTCCTATTCTTAAATGGAAGAAGCTGGTATATTACTATCATAAATACTATAATATGTTGCCCTGAGGTGAAATTGTCAGGAAATTTAACTCTTTGTTTTCCTCTTTAGGAATTTACGCATTTGGACTGTTTGCTACGGACATCTTTGTAAATGCTGGACAAGTAGTAACAGGGAATCTTGCACCACATTTTCTTGCACTTTGTAAACCCAACTATACAGCACTTGGATGTAAACAGTATACACAGTTCATCAGTAGCGTACATGCCTGTACTGGAAATCCAGACCTTATCATGAAAGCCAGAAAGACATTCCCATCCAAAGAAGCAGCCCTAAGCATATATGCAGCTATGTATCTGGCTGTAAGTATATTGTACTTTTTAATGTCACTGTATTTTTGAGAGCAGACAGCTCACTATGGGGGGAGAAGGGAAGAATGGGGAGAAGATAACTATCGGCTGATTTTATATATGTAAACCTTTTATGAGTTACTGTGAGGCTTTTGAGAATTTGATTCATTGGACTTAATTGTGTCACATGCAGATGTAGTGGTTCTCTGAGCCTTGAAAGCTAAGGCAATGCTGAGAGAAGGCAAGTTGCCCAAAAAGAGAATTAAATTTAGGATAACTAGGTGTTTGGTTTACTTTTTCCTCATTTCCAGAGAATGTAGGAGAAGGCTTTGTTGGATGGTGAAGAATAAGAATAGGGATTGCCCATGTTCCTTTCTGTGTTTTAACCCAGTACAGATAAGCAGAATTGCAGACAGCCATATTCTTGGGGTGAAGCAGAAAAGTGGGAATATGTAAGTGTCTGATCTCTGCAGGTTTCCCTGAGATCTGTGCATGTCTTTAGGTGTCAAAATCGGTAGGTACCTCAGTGCTCATGCAAAGTCAGTTTGACACTTATTCTGCAATGAAGTGGGCTACAAAACAATCTGGCCCTTCTTTCCTCTCTCCGATGTAGGGAGTAATGAGCAGGGCTGGGATAAAAACTGGTGTTTACTGCCTGGCATCAGAGCTGTTCAGAGGCTATTGAGAAGTGTGGGGAAGTAGGTGAGAGGCAGAGTGACTAATGACTCTCACTCAAGTAACTCTCTGCAGTACTCCCTGGCTTAGTTTGGAGTACACATCATTCTAGTCTTAAGCAGAAGCAGATCTTTTCTTAGTAAAGTTCTTCCCAGCGCATGCCTCTGGGAGTCTCTTACCTGACCTGTGCTGGTAATCAGTCCTTGTAGCACTCTAGATGGGCCCAGGGCTCCCCTGATAGTGTCAGTGGGTAACTAGGCAAATGTCTCTGCTTATTGCAGGAGTCATGCCTTAAACTCCCCCAGTATTTGAATAGTGGCCTGCCTGTACGCATGTGTGCATATATGTGCATGTAAATATGTGTGTTTGTGTCACTTTTGAGCATATATTTAATGAGTTGACTTTTAATTCTTGATTGATCAGGAAACTGATACTTGCTAACATGACAAAGTTCCCAACTCCATGCTTCTGTTTTACAACCAGTTGCTTAAAATCTGCAGTTACTGACAGTAACATTTACCAAAACTTCCTTCTGAGCAATGTCTGTTTAAGAGGTGTGGATCAGTCAAGTGTTATCTGCAAATAAGAGATGAGCAATAAAATTCTATTCTAACTTGAGGCAAGTGTAAGTCTCCTAATAGTATTGTCTTTATTTGGGGAGAAATCTAAGGCTTTGCTTCACTGAAACATACCTCTAAATTTGGAGCAAGCTATTTTAGAAAATATTCAGCATTCTTCATTTTAATTGCTCCTATTTTTCTCGTCCATCTGTAAAGTTGGATTTCCACCATTGCCATGAGTCACAGTAACTAAAGGAAACCAACTGTTCAGCTACTGCAAAACAGGAAGGCAAATAGTAATAATACATTTTAAAAACCAAAAGTAGACATTAGTAAGGTCTAATACCTAGTATTGATGGCTTATGACATGAGCAAGAGTACTTCATGCAAACCTTATGTTGTATGTGGTCAATATAGTTAGAAACATCAAAAAATAAAAATTGCGGTGATCTATTTCATGACTTTCTAACCTTTCAGTAACTGCAGAAATTAATATATCTTATGTCATTACTCTATTGCTGCAGACACTGTCATCATTTAACTGAAGTACTATAAACTGCTCTCAGGATTTCTGGATTCTTATAGGCTGCCTAATAAAGTGAATTGCTATGATGTATCAGCTGATTTGTAGCCTGCAAATTTAAGTCCTTGATGCAATATTGGCAGTCCTCTTTTTTTTAAAAAAAATTAAAATCTAAAAATGTTGCATGGTTGCAGCTAAAAATTTTATTTGTTTTTTTTACGAAAGCTTATTACACACCAGGGAAAGAAATGCAATGTTCCAATATTTGAGGTCATGTCCTTACGCTATCCTGATGTTTATCAGGATAGTTGGCCCTGAATAACAACTTTATCATCACTATTCACTGGAGTAGAAGGTCTAAACAGTAGCCTAGTCTTTGTATGAGCCATGGTTCAACAGTTATTGAGAGCATGGACATAAAGAGCTCCATATATTACTCAGCTGGTATTTCATGAGCATATAATCTTTGATACAAAATGTGCTTTCTTTTTGGTTAACAGAAATATTGGGAGAGAGGGAGGAACATTTCAGCCAGCTGTGCACAAAACCAGCTTAAAGACATAGATAGGCAACAAGCTGATCCAGAGTCCTTGCTCTCTGAGGGGGCGAAGTAAACAACGTCAGACTTGTGTGATTTCACAGATCAACCCATTTAAAAACAAAGCCTATGCTTTATCTAATAATTCCCCTATCTCTTTCCATTGAAGTGCAGCTATGTCCTTATGACCTAGCATCTGTGCATCTTGTCTTGTTAACAATAGCTTCTTTTTTCATTTAAGTTCTTGAGTCTTCCTTCCCACCCCCCCCTCCCCTTTTGAGAGTGGGTGGCTGCTATGGTAACTCTGAATTCCCCTCTTGCTGAAAGTACAGTCTTCTTCAAACAATTGTATTGCTAATATTTAGACCTCTCTAATGTTTACCTCAGTTACTTTCTCTCAGTACCTATCAAGAAAGACTTGGCAAGGAAATGTTGAATGGCAGCACTATGGTCAGGCTTTTCTCTACCCAAACACAGACACTTTCAAGGATGCATTACCTGTCTTCAGACTCAGGTTTATTTTTCCCAGTGTACCAGAGTCTTCAAAATGAACTACTGCAAATCTGTTCCAGACTCTCTAATCAAGGTGACTGCTACCTGGATTTCTACTTCGGTGTCTGTTCAACTTGTCTTGAATCTTTTGCTTGTCTTTGTTTGAGTTGGGTTAATAAGTTGACTGCATCTGCTTTTGTTTCTTATCAGCACTGCAGTTCACCCTTTCTCAGCTGGAACAACATCTGCTAACACAGGTATTAAAGCAAATGCTGCAAGTTTATTAAGTAGAATATAATTGTATAAACCTCATTTTTATATGAGCTGATATAACTCATCATTTACAGCTTATCATTTCATAAGCTGATGTAGCCTGGACAATTAGAGGTATATTTTGAAGCAGCCAAGTGTGTACATACTTGGGTTTTTTCCACAACTGAGTCACAGAAATGACGACTCATGAGCCTTTGGTAGGATTTTGAAGTGATATATGAAGATTCAGTCTATTCCCATGGATTTAAGTATGAAGCTTGTGACTAACAGTTGTCCGTTGGTGCCACAGACTTAGGGGATTGGTCATTGCTAGTTGTAGTTTAAGACATTTTAATTCATTCTATAAAGTTTTGCCTTTTTGTTGTTTTATCCTTATTGCATTGGACAAAAGCAGTTGGCAGCCAGCCTGTCTGTAGGATAGAGTTTGAACTCGGTGTTACCACATCACATTTCAGACTTGCTTTGGATTTGTAATGGTAGAGGTTTAATGTCTTGATAATTAACATAACCCTTCCATCTGTAGGCTGCTTTTGTTGCTTTGTACTGTGAGCCCTTGGCCTCAACTATGGCCTCAGGCAGGGCTAGAAGGTAAAGCTGACAAATAATTTTTTCCTCTCAGCGAGCATTTGCTGGACCTGTGATCATCTTTTCTGTACAGTTCTTGCTCCTGGCATTCTGCTGTATTGTCTTTGCTGTTTACTGTGTTTGCAAGTCACTGGGAAGACAGCAAGGCAGTCTAGATCATAGTGCTGGCAACATGGTGACATTCTGCTCAGTGTCACTCCTTGATCCAGTCTTTAGGTGTGGGCCTCATCTCGCTTCTCCTTTGTTTCAAAGTGCCTGCTTGGCTCCTGCTCAGTTGGCAGCTGATGGAGGTATAACAGGCCTCTCTTTGATAGGCCTTAGGTAGTGTTCAGGAGGAAAAGGAATAGCAGAGTCACCTTGTTGAGTCATCTTTGTCCATTTTTTGTCAGAAAATTGGAGAATGAAGGGATTCTTTTGGCTGCTTTTGAGGGGCAGTGTTAGGAAAGTGGAATTTCTTTTCTGTATCTTGTGCAGCAAGTAAAAGTATCCCTTAGCGTGTATCACAATATATTGGGTGTATTAGTTACTTTCAGGCTGTATAGTAAAATAACATTACAATTTGATTCAGGGATTTATCTAAAGACCTCTAAATATTTTTTGTCAGTCAGTTGTTCGTTACAATTCAGGTACTCAAGGTAATGACCTCAGCTTTAGTATTTGGGTATATTTTACAGTCCTGGTACACTGAAGAACAGTTTTTCCCTTCTCTGTTTTTTTAGAGTTACAACTGTGGGGACCTCACATGGGAAACTTGATAGTAAGGTCCAAAATTTCTAGAGCTTTTTGCCAGCAAAAAGCAAGCAACATTTGCAAGAAAACCCTTTTGCCAGCCCAGACCCCTAACTTTGAAAGTTGTCTAGAATCTTCAATAATTACTGCAAACTTGTAGTATGGAGTATTTCTCCATACTACAAATTTATGTAGAAAGCTGGAGGAGGCTTCAGAAGCACTAAAAAAATCTTCAGTGGGCAGTTGCAGGAAGGCCCAGATAATTTGAGAATATGATTGTGGTTTGCTCTAGAAATAATGTGACACAATAATTAATAAGAGGCTGAAGAGCTTTTAGATTGTCAAACAGGATTCTTAACTAAATGTTGAACCTGGTTATAGACTACTGTCCACTATAGCCCACTACTTTTTAGCTTTTTGATCTCAAATTACCTCTTTGCATGTAGGTATTATGAATATTGAAAGTTGTGCATTCCTTAGGTGGAACATCTATAATACTACTTACATGAATGAGTAGTTCAAGATTCATTCTTTAATGATAGCACATTATACAAGCAAGACAAAAGACAAGATAATTTATATTTGAAGTGCTGCCTGGAATAGGTGCCTGTACAGTGATTCCTTCATTTTTCTGCTTGTTGCTTCGTGAGTCATTATAGTCTGCCCACTAATGGACTGGTCTGTCTCTTTGTCAGACCCCCAGACCATCTGCTTCAGGGAGGACTGAAACAGCAAGCACAAATGGGGTCTTTCTACCTGCATCCCTGGGCCCCAGGCTGATGAAATCCACTAGGAAAATTAACCTTGCTCCTGACTGGTGCACCCAGCCTGATTACTAGCTCCACTCTAACTAAAATGGGACTCTGGGACTTGTTACATGTGTGTCTGTGGGCATAGATGTTTGTGTGGGTGAGCCTAAAGATAGCTGAAAGAAGATGATGAGGAATAGCTTGCAGCATAGCTGAGGAGGCTGCTTTGTCCTGCACTTGACATACAATTTCTGTTCTTCTCTTATGTGTTTTGGAATGATTTTGTTTGCACTAGATTTTAGGACATATTTCACATGAGTCAGACTTGCAACATGACACTTTTGAAAGCTTTCCCAGTACAAGCTTAAGTGCCAACACTGTGATTAGTCCTTATATTATGACCAGAGGCAATCATGTCAGAAACCTCACAGGTAGCTTTGTCTTTAGTGATGATTCTGATTCTCTGAAATACATGTTTTCAAAACTACTTTAATTAAAGTTTTTTCTTTCAATTTATGAGGCTCTGAAGACTTCACTTCCAGAATCTTGAAGACTGAAGGTGAAACGTTTGTGTTTTCCTGAAAATCTAGTAAATATTGGTATATAAAACAGATAACATCCACCTCCTTTTGACTCTCTGCCAGTGTCTACTTACGGGTATTACCTTTATATCTTCTCATTCTAAAATCTTATTTCAGGAAAAAGGCAAAGCAATATCAGGAGTTCTTCAAGAGAAGGTTCACTACTGATCTGATGTTGCAGAAGAATGCGCAGCCTTATAACTACTGTATCAGTTCTTGACCTTACATACAAAATCTCTGCTGTTGGTCTTGTGGTTTACTAATTCAAATGATTTCTTTAATTAGATTCCTTCTCTCTCAATTTCTGTTCTTGAAGGAAATTGAGATGGACTTGTTTGGTGAACATCTTTAGCCATGTAAAAGTTTCTGTGTCATTCATTCTCACTAATGTTGTAAATCACTGAGCTGTTTTCATTTGTTGGTACTGCAATTAATATTTATGAAAAGTAAGAGAAGAAAAATCCTGTCATCTTTTCAAGATGTTCTTTGTCAATTACTGACTGGGTTGGTTTATAGCTTTCCTTTCAGAATCCAGAAGAAAAGACTGCTTAATTATATTCTTAGTGCAAATCAGATCTTTGACTGAGTTGCCTAAGTTAATATATTGTATTATACGAGAGCTGCAAGAGATCAAGTTTAAAAATGGACATCTGTGAATCCTGCCTTGGAAGAGTCTAGATTTGCTATGTGGAGTTTTGCAAATACAGACTTTTCATTCCACTGTTTCAGGAAAAGTTTACTCTGTTTCTATTGATCTTTGATAATTTTTTTAATATAATACTGTTCTTAACATCAGTGGTGTCTGTTCTTTAAAGAAGAGATAGAAATAGTACCTATGCTGGCAGAACCCTCAGGTTATTTTGAATAATGGACTGGCATGACAACTTTGACTGCACATATAGGAAGGGGATTGACAAATGGAGGTCTTCATCACTCATGTGAGGCACAACATGAGTCTGCAGTTGTTTCTGCTCAGTCTGTTTTAAGTAGAGGTTTGAAGGACATGCTTGATTGTAAAAAGTTTCTAAGAATTTTCTGTAGACTGTTTTTCAGTTTTAGCTTTGTGTTAAAAATGTTGATGTTTGACTGAAGTATTGCAGAATCAAGAATTTGTATTGTAATGTGTTTTGACTTCATAAAAATTGAGGTGATCATCTTGGGCAATGACCAGGTGTTACAGAGGACTGAAATGTATCACTAAGACCTGACCTAAACAAGCTACACTCTTTTTTTGAGTTGATTTTTCATTCTCAGCAGTTGTTTTGATTTAATGTGCCACAATATAGAATTAAATGCAGAATAGCTTCTAGCTAACTTCACCCAAGCTGTATTTGAAATTTAGTGATATTGCTGTGTATTCAAAATACTAGAATATTTTTCCCTAGCACCAGATGATGTTCTAAAATGTAGTGTGAATGTGGATAATGGTGGTAGTATCCAGGAGTACAGTGAGACTCACTAAAGTAGAAGGTTGCTGAGTAACTCAATGTGCACTGCTGTCTGTAGCTTGAAGAAAACCAGGGGCTAAAAAGCTGGAAATTAAAGTTGTAGTTGTCTTATCAGCATTCCACATGGTAAGAGTAACTCACTGAAGAGAGACTGCAAAAATATAAGGAGCTAAAATGAAAGAATAGTCAGCAAAGGGAGAAATGCTATTTCTAAAATGATCTAGGAAGAAGAGAGAAACATGCCAGAACTTTTTTCAAACCTTTGCTCTGTCTGCATTAGTTGAAAGCTTGCTACTAGTGTGCTGTTCATCATGTAAGTACACTGAAGATGTATGTGTTGCAGTTCTGCTGTGATTTTAAACTTAAGCTTTGATTTGTCCTCTAAGCTATGGATCTTTCTCTAGTGTTTTGAACAAAATTACTGTCAGATGTCGCTCTTTTCAAACAACCTCTGGCCATTACTTCCTTAATTTATCATAAGTGTAACCATGATTCCTAACTTCTTCTTGACTGGATTATTGCAGCACTTCGTAACTGATTACCCACTAAATTCAGCTGGAGTTTCAGACAAAAGTTCATACAAAAAAACCCAAAGGACTGCCCATTTGTTGACCAAAAAGGTACTGGTTCTTCAATGCAGATTCATCAGTTTCCCTTTGCAGTTCAAACTGATGGCATTACATATTTGGAGTCTCTAGCATAACTCCATAGAAAATATTTGCATTCTTCAGTTAAAAAACTTCAACTCTGTCTAAAGGTAAAGGTTTTAGGGATTTCAACGGTTGAACTGGAGAAACATCTTATACAGAAAGTAAATACTTTATTCTTAAGAATCCTGTTAGTTGAAGTATAATTTTTCAGTGTGGAACATTCATGCAGCCTTATTGCCAAGATTCAAGAGAATAGAAACTCAGAGATTTGGTATTCATTTCTTCCATTGTCCCATCAGAGCTTGGAAAGTGCTGGCTTAAACCTAGTAGTCTTTATGTACACTCTTAGGGCAGAAGAGCTCTGTCATCAGGCAGTGCTTTTAACTGAGTAGTATTTATTGCACAGCGAGAGTTAGAGTGCAAGCAGGGCAGATTGGTTTCTCAGAGTTTGATGCATAGAAGTTTCTGAATTTAGATTGTTTTTTGTGCTGGAGGGGATTGGTACTAAACATCCTCAATCACCATCTGTGAAGTACAGGGGTGTATTGCTTCAGCACTGGTTGAAACTGTTACATGTTACAAAAGTAGATGCTGGCATTTAGTTCAATTTTCACATCTTTTTGATACATCTCTAGTTAATCACACAGAGTTGTGTATGAGGAAGAAAGGCATTTGCTAATAAAATAAGACCTTGATGTAGCCCCTTCCAGGGTAAAGATCTTTTTCTATTATTGTCAACACTAAGCAATAAAAAATCAGTCTCTTTACCTCTCTGCATAAATAAATACATAGTTTGGAAGTAATAGGATAGGATTGTCTAATTTGCCTGTTCTTTTGTGGGCTTTTCCGATCCACTTACAATATAATTTTGCTGCAGAGGTTTTATTCACCAATTAGTGGGAGATATCCATCAGTCTTATACTTTTCTTCCTTTCTAATTTTCAGATGTATATCACCAACACAGTAAAAGCCAGAGGAACAAGGCTTGCAAAACCTGTTCTGTGTTTGGGCTTAATGTGCTTGGCTTTTCTTACTGGAATCAACAGAGTAGCAGAGTATCGAAATCACTGGTCAGATGTAATAGCAGGATTTATAATCGGAATATCTATAGCAGTATTTTTGGTAAGTGTATATCTGTGTCACTTCTGTTTAAAAAAAAAAAAAAAAAATTCAGTGTATAACTTCGTATCTTTAAAAAAAGTATTGGTAGCCTCAACTTTTCAGGCAACTAAATGACAAAAGAGGTGTTTTGAATTTTTTGTTTTAGTTGATTATCAATTTCCTTAGTTATGTTTACATACACTCAGAAATGTGAAGTCAAGAAAGGACTGATCAAACGATCTCTTTTGACTTCCTTATAAACCAGATTATAGCATTTCAACCAGTAATTTTTGCATCAAGCCCCACTTGAAGCAAATGTATATCCTTCAGATTAACATCTAGTGATGGTTTCATGTATAAAGTATTACATTTTGTATAGTGATGCCTACACTGATCAGAGAATGAGTAGCATTTCTTTTCTGTCTTTAAAGTAACCTTATTGAATTTCTTCCATGCTAGTTCAGGTTTACATCGAAATTTTATGTTATTCTTTATCAAAAAATCCTTGTTTAGCCTTTTCCTTTTCTTGGAACTGTGTTCCAAAAGCAGATCATTTGTCATAGCTCATAATGACTAGTGTCTGTGTCAGAAAGCTGTGGTTAATCGATTAATCACCTTCACCGATAACTTCAGTGCAAGACTTACAGCATAGAGTAGTCATTGCTGTTTACTGCCTGCAGGTTTGTCTCCCTGGCAGCTTGTAATAGTACTAAATATGCCTTTGATTTTGCTTCCCCATGAAAACACAACTGAGCTTGATTCTTGGATCTCAAGGTCTTGATCTCAAGATCTTGGATCTGAGGACTTGGCTTGGCTGAGAACTTTCACAGGGATGGCTGAGGTGGGTGTTTCCACACCTCTGAGAAACATGAGGGCAGCTTTAGGTCTCCTTTAAAATATAGCTGCTTGCAGTTCCGAATGTTCCTTCCACACAACGTGTCTGGGAGTTATACTTGGTTGTTCCATTTGAAGAAGCTTTTCCATTCTGTTTGTGTCCATAAAATCATGAAAGATAACAATTAGAAATCTGTCCCAGCATTTTTTTCTTGTATTTTGTGATGTATATTGTATAAACTCCTTTGAGTAGCATGACAACAAATTTAGTTGTGTTTTGAAGAAAATATAGCAGGCAAACATTATTAGTGTTTCTACTAATTCACACACTCAGCTGAGCAGCAAATTTGTATGTATCGCATTTCTAAATCCCTGTGTGAAAGTCACTGCTGTCCTGAGCAGGTTTAGAGTTTAGTTCAAACTTGGAGATGCTCCTCACCCTCTTATTCTCACCTTCTCACGCTCCATTTGAGAAAGTCTTTGCTGGTCAAAACTTACATGGTACTGGCCATTCATAGGAATTTAAGGTTATGCCATATTCTGCTGCGCATGCTCTGGACGTCTATTCATGACATGGCTAATAATTGGTATTCTATTATTCAGCTTCAGTAATGGATTTGCTTTTAGAGAAGAGGGTTTTTTGGTTTTTGACTGATGCATGTAACAATAATTGATAATCTTTTTGTCTTGAAATATTAATTAAGGATTTTCTGTAAAAGATGAACTTTACATTTCTGTGTTTCTACTGTAAGCTGTGACTAAAGCTGGTGTCAGTTCTGCTAATTATAGATGTCAGGATCAAAGCTCAAAAAAATGAGTTGTTCCTTAGCTATTCTGTTTATCTTCTAATCCCTTCTAGGTGGTTTGTGTGGTAAATAACTTCAGAGGACGTCAGCCAGAACATGAACATTCTCATATGGGTAATCTGGCCCAGATGCCCATGATCAGCATACCCCGAGTAGAAAGCCCTTTAGAAAAGGTAATGTCTGACTTTTTTAAAAACAATTAAATAAAATGTAGCTTTTCTAGAAGGATGATCCCAAATTATCTTGACAAGAATGCTGAGGTAATCAGATTGAATGTAAGGAAGCATGGCAGTGAAGGGGAAAGAAGGGAAGAATTAATTCAGAGACACTCCTTGGGAGACTTTTCATGTCACCTCCAAGAACAATTGCTTCATATCAGTCTAGTTTACTGCTGTAGCCACTAAGTCCATGGAGTCAGACTGGGCAGATCTGAGGCCCTCTTAACATCTGTTTCTTGCATAAGTTTGATTAATGCTTGGGCTGAGAAAGAAAATCTAACCCCTGAGCCCAAGGGTTTATGCAATTCAGGTATGAGTGGCATTAATCCTATTTCTCTGGGGTATGTCCTCAGGCTAGTGTAGAGCATGGGATGCAGTCCCTTCTGGATCAGCTGTAGGGCTTTTATCATCAGCACGTCCTAGCCCCAGGACAGGGTACCCACTTGGAAATGCTGGGGATCTGTCATCTGCTCTAGCAGGGCAAACAATGAACACAATAATAGTAGGGAGTAACATGGGTCATACAGTACACAAAAGCTGTGTTTCCTTGCCAAAGCAAATGAGGTTTTGGACTAGGACATGCTAGTGATAGTCTCCTGGATATGCGAGACTTTCTTCGTGAGTAAGTATTGTGATGTGTTTAAAATTTATTTTATTTTTTGTAATAAAAATTCATGGTATTTGAAGATGATGTTGTAGTATGTACAAATCTGAACAATTTTATGAGCAAGCAAGCACTGAAATAGATTGCATAACCAAATAAAACATTTAAAGCATTTTTACTACAGGGAAAGTTTGAACTACTAATGCAAAATTTGAAAGTAGTTCTACTTTTTCTAATTACTTTTATCTGTCATTATTTGTTAAAATTTCTTGTGTTATGCCCATGTTGAAAGATAGTTAACAACTCTACACTGGGTAGAGCACCAAAAGCATGTTTCTGTGGCACTCTTAAATCCAAATTAATACTGATATTTTTACTTATGAGGTATAAGGAGAAATGTTTTTAACCACTTCCCAGTCTGGTTTAGTCACCTGGAAGTGTTGGAAGTTGTCCTTTTGTAAGGATTGCTGCTAGCCCTGTGTTTGTTTTTCCTTCCCTTGAAGGGAAAGATTTCTTTTCAGAGTAATCTAACACGCCTTTTTGTACCGAACGTGTCTAAGCTACTTCTGCTGATATCTTGTCATAAGGAGGTCATAGTCTCATTTGGTTGAACAAGCATTTAGATGATGAATGTGTATCTTCAAAATAATCCATTCAGTAAACTTTCTGTAAAACGTCAAAACAAAACAAGATGCCAGTCGGCCTAGGATATATCTCATTAATAAGAGCATGTCTTATTTATGTGCTAGGCTCTCCTGCAATAGAAGCCATTTCTGCTGCTCAAAAGCCATCATAGGTAATAAATGTAGGTTCTCTGGCTGTTGAAATTTTTAGATTTTTTCTGGGGATAATGACCTCATGTTAACTAAGTGTTTCTACCTGATTTGACACCTTGCTCATGATGAACAATGCTTTTTCCCTGAGATTTGGCCTATGCAAGATTGAGATGTTGTAGAGGAAGAAGCTATGGGAGAGTGTGGAAGGGTGGTTTCAGGAATAATGTTTGCTCTGCTACAGGATGACCTTTACAGTTTGTGAGCTGCCCAGAACTCTGTGATCAAACTTCTTTCCTTCTGAACCCATATTCCTATGGCAGTAGAGGGTAGCTGTTTTGCTGTCACAGAACTTCTCTCTAGGTAATTAACTTGGGGATTGTCCACAGGGTGTTACACTCGGTGAGATTTCAGTGTATGGGTACATCTTTGTCTACATTGCAAAGCTTTTCCCCTTTCCAGACAGAGGGCATGAGTTAGGAGGATGATAACATGGACTCTTTGGTATTTGTTGGGAAATGGTTTCTTCTGTTTCCACTTTCAGAAAGTTTAAATTTGAATTTGCAAATAGTTGATGAAAAAGTTAGTTATGAGTGCTTTAAGTGTTGAGTTTTTGTAGATTTTTTTCTTTTTATTTTAATGTTTAGTCTAAAGTTTAGTTAGAAGCCAGACCCTGTTAAAGAAAATGCACTAAGAATAATACTTACGTGAAACTAAGGTCTAAATTGAGCCATCACTACAAGAATTATTAACTTAGTCTCTGCTTTTTAACTTCCTTCTTATTTTACATCCTTTGTTCTTCTCTGGAGAGAGAGGGGTGCTAAATAATTTGTGTGCTACTTGCCTCTGCCTACTTTAGCCACCTGCAAGTTACTTTTCACATTTCAGTTAGGGCTGTTCCAGTTCCATTTTCTGAATGCACGTATATTTACATTTGGCTTATTTTAAATCCGTTTTTTCTTATTCTCAGTCTGCAAGCTCCTGTGCTGTTATTAAAGACAGCTTACTGTCAGAAATTAGCTAACTAAGACTAGCACAGTTTTGACTGACAAGTTACCATGGGCTGAAGCAGTGCTCACATGAAGCAGTGCAACTCTGGTATTTAAAAATAACGATATGGTTATCTGGGAGCGAGCAATTCAAAGATGCTGTCTTAAAGAATTGATTCATTAGAAATGCCTACTAGAAGGGACCTCACTTACTGCAATTTTATTATAAATTCACCTGTAAATGAGTAAACATGTGGTGCATTACACAGACCTGTAGACACCTTATTTTTGTGTTTCCTGATCTGCTGCTTCCTATTCCAGTGGCTTTTTTTCCTGCTGGAGAACGAAAGCTTTTGGCATGCTCTTCACGCTGCTGCTGTCGTGAGTTCTGGTGGAGGTCAAGAGCTACATTTGAAGTGCACTTAAATAGGAATAAGTGTACTTGTAATATTCTGAATTGAGCTGCTGCTGGTTAATGACAAGGGTAGATCACTGTTTGCATGACACTTCTGTTTAATTGTGGTGCATGCAGATGATTAAACTGTTCTGCACGGGTACCCACTTCTCATGTGCTTAAATAAGCCATAGTTGCAGAGCGTCTCCTTGAAGAATCCTTGCCAGAGCTGGCTCAGCAGTGCAGACTTATTGCTTTCACCTTAACTACATTCATCCTCAGAATTAATGAAATGCATGAAAGTCAAGAAACATCATCACTCACCCATCTGCTTCTTTTTCTCTCCTGTCTCTGACCTTCATCATCTCTTACAAGACAATTCGTGTTTCAGTTAGCTGGCACTGTGCTACAGAGAGGAGGTTCTCTCCCTACCACAGTAAAGGTTAGACACTCCTGTTCTTTTGCAAGAGTTACTGGGAAATAGGGATATTCTAGGTGGTATTGGGAAGAGTTAAAGTCCAGCTTCATCCAGTGCAGTCACAAACTATTTTTGCTGTTTTCTGTTGCGGGGGAGACTGACATTATTTCATGCTAAAGTCACCTGAAATTGGCCAGGGTTTACAGAGTGCTTGTACACGTCTTGTATTTTTTTTTTTTTTTTTTTTTTTTTTTTTAAATCAGTATTCTTGCTTTGAAAACAAATCAAATAAAAGGGAACATGGAGCATTTACGGCTAATTGAGACAGTAGATAGACTACTGATGTAAGAGGTTTTACAAGGAAGTTTTGGGTTATGAGAGTCACTGTGGTTCATCTCCTGTGGGATGAGATGATTACAGTGCTTTCTGTAGCTACTCAATTTTACTTACTTGCACAGTGAGTTCTTTGCAGTGCTCTGTTGACAACTAAGCTGCATTTATCCCCCGAGTCTCTGCTTGGCATTCCTTCTTAGTGCTGCTTCTGTCAGCAATGCACAAACCATGTTCCCAAACACAGTCACCGTTTCTTGTTACAATGAGGTTTCTTACACTCCACCCATAGGACTGACTCCAGCATAACTGTGAACTAGAAACAGATAATTTAGTCTCTCTCTCTCTCTCTCTCTGCCATTTCTAAGTTTTAATGGTGATAAGTATTTGGAATTCCTCTCTCTACATACAAAATTCTTGTTGCCTATCATACCAATTGCTAGTGACTATCAGGGTTAATTGTCTCAAAAATTTTGTTGAGTTTGATGCTGTAATTCTTGTTCTATTGTGTACGTGCCAAAGGTCATGGTGGTGATAAAACATTTTAACAATAGTAAGTATAGATATTGCAGTGGATTCTGTTAGTATTTTGAGACTGGGGAAACTTTCCCCTTCTGTTTTTAAGGTATAATGTATTTTCTCCATCTTGACTATTCAGGAAACATAGAACAGCTTCCTTAGTGTCAGAAGAGTGTATTTTAAACTTTGATTCTCAGTGTTATTGCTTTTTCCTTGGTCTTAAGCATTTTGGTACTAAGAAGTCTTTCATTGGTATGTGCACTTGTGTAGACACAGCATGGCCTAGGGAGTCTGGTCTGGTTGCTGGGGCTCTCCAGGGACACTACCTGCCTATCACTGAGCTCACAGATTAAAAGCAAAACACAAAGATGTTTTAGCTCATCATGCTATGGGCCGATGAGGGAGAGGGTATGTGTCTCTGTTGCATAAAAATATTTTAGCTGAGCAGTACCCTAATACTGTTGTGCTTGATGTCCAAAAGTGTACCTAGGTATCCATGCAGTGTTTTAGTACATGTGTATGTGTGTCTCCAGCAGGGTTTGACTGGAGCCCATGTACTTACATTAGCTTATAGACAGGTTCTCAGATTTTTGTTGTCATAATGGTTCTCTCTTGATAATACAGTATGTTAAAGGAGATGTAATACAACATTGTTTCATACATGGAAACAATCCAGGAGAGTCAGCTCATAAAAGACTGTAAGCAGTTTTGTTTCGATGTCTAGCATTTGATTTTGCATTCATGTCCTACTCTTCTGCTTAAATCTATTTCTGGGGAATTGTGTAAGAATTATTTCTGTTTAAATACAAACTGATCCCCACATCTACTGTTCAAATAAAATAATACTTAAATATAGGAAATGGAATAATATATTCAGTGTGACCTCCTCAAATATACATATTGTAGGTGTTACAGAATCAAGGTATTGGTAACAATCAAGAAGATCCTTTGCAACGAAACTCCCTCAAAGCACGCATCATTAGGTTCTTCTCCTGGATATCAGGAACGGACCGTTTTGAGCATCTTCATATAAGGCAATGAACTTATGTGTGCGAGAGCACACTTGAGTGTTTGTGTGTGGAATTTGAAGCAAAGGCAGATGCAGTGTGGTGGCAGCATTCTGTGCAGGTCTGCAATGTTTTAAATGGGGAATTTCCCTTGAACTTATTCTTTTCACTCAAAATGCAATTCCTTGAGTAAAAGCATAAAATATACTTTGACCCAGAGAATTGTGTGATAACATTATTATTATTGTATGACAAATTATCATTTGCCTGAACTATTACAGTGATATTTTTTCTATTTCTTTTAACTGTGTGAAGGACTACAGACAATTTTTTGAATTCCTGTTTTCAAAAATGGATGTGACTATTTTTGAATATTTCTAACTATTCATGAGAGCAGAACAAAAAAATTTCAGGTAAAAAATATTATATAATGAAAACTGGAAATGACAAAAATTGTCATGGATGTTTTTTCAGTGCTCTAACATTATAGAATCACTTCTAAACAGAAATTAATTAATATCTTAACAGAAGATATACAGCTGTGGATCACTTTACCTCAGAAACCTGCACTCAAAGCTTAGCCTTCAGCTTTCATTTTCCTGTTAGTGGTGCAAGAGCATGGTTATGAAGCATGCTTTGTTCACGTGGTGCTGACACCAAGCCAATACTGTCAGTTTAGAATGAATAATACAAAAGCTGGTGTGCCTGCCTGTGAAACTGCTGCCATTGAGCAGACCCTCAGCATATTCTAATTATTTTGAGTACTGTAGAGAAAACAATTTCCCATAGAGTTGGAGAAGCTGAGGTCTTGTGCATGTTTTTTTGCTTGTCTCCTGTATCTGTGTGAATCTGTTTGCTGATGGTTAGTATCTCACACTGAACTTTGTCACAGTAAATCTAAGCAGAAGTAAAAGAACATAATAAGAGAGTTGAAATGCAGTTACTCAAGAGGGATGCTGGTTGGTTTGTTGGTTTTTTTTTTTTGTAAAGAGTATCAGCAAGGCTTATCTGTAGTTTTGCCTGAGACCATAACATATGAAAAAGCATGAATACTCAGACAGTGGCATGAATCTGTATTAGTGATTCTTGCAAGCGGTTAATTTTGACATAGTTATGCATCACCCTACTGAGTCCATTGGACATGAATTGACAAGTCTTCACTAGTGTCCAAATCAATAGCTCCGCAACTGGCAGCTTAGCAGTTCCTTCTGAGGGTTTATTGAGGAAGGATGATTTTCTTCCGTGTTATTATATCTCATGCTCTGCATGTCCTTCTAAGGATGATTTTGGAACTATACCTGGCAGGAGTGTGAACCACATTCTCCTTTCCAAAGTAATAGTTATCCAGTTCTGAATTAATGCCACAGGAAAGCATTTGGTTCTCTGCATCACAGACAAAGTGTGTGTTGCTTAGAGAAAGGGATAGCACATAGCAGGACTTGCAAGAATTGATTAGAACAGGGGTTCTCAACCTTTCCTTCACTGTGGACCCTCTTTAAATACCTTTTGTCGCTGTGGACCACCAAGACTTAATTCAAGATTTAAAGCACTAGACTGCATCAAAAATTCATTTCAATTTTCTCATGAATTATCTTCAAATTTGGAGAGGAGGGGAAATAAGTTAATCTGTTAGTGGGAAAAGGAGGCGCAGTGCTTGCCATGGGCCAGACCAAATGTTTCTGGGCTGGACGTTCCCCACCCCTGCTTGAAGCCTTTGAGGACCCTTTGTGATGACATTGCGGCCCCCTGGGGGTCCGTGGGCCACAGGTTGAGAACCACTAGATTAGAATATAATTAGAATATTTTTTTTTTTCCTCCAATTCCTTATTCTTAAACCGCCTTATCAATCAAACGAATAAACTGATGCTGGATTCAGTTGACAGGGTAGTTCTCAGATCTAAATAAGGAAAAATAAATTAAATACTATGAAGAAAATGTCCTAATAGCCTCAAAGCAACACCAGTCATTGAGGTTGCCCAGTGCATCATCTGTCCAGTGCTGAAAGCAGATGTTCAGCCAACTAAAATGCTTTAAAATGTTAAATTTTTGTTCTCTAATTGAGAAATCTAAATTCTTCAGTATCAAAATCTGGAAACAATGATCTTTGCTAATAGTTTACTGAAAACATTTTCATAAAGAGTTGCACACTGATTCTTTTTTTCCTAATGCTTTTTTAAAAATCCACTGGCTATGGTTTAATCACTGTTACTTATTTAAAATATATTCATTCTATTATGGAGAATGAACATAGATGATTACTATTTGGTGCTGTTCTCATATGAAATATATGAGAAATATAAACTTATGTGCAGCTTTTTCTATGATGTATGATAAGGGATTTTCTGAAGGACTTCCCTTAAGCAAAAAAAAGGGACATCTGTCTTACTCCCCATGAGTTATCTACATCCCCTCTCCTCTTCAGTTTACATCTCCTCTCTTCTGACTTTTGTCTACTCCAGGAGGGGAGGTGAGGAGAGAAAACTGCAGTGCTTTGAGTGGTATCATTTCCATCTGTGCATTTTTGTGCTAGGGCACAAACGCATGGCTTAAGATCAAGATTCCCTTTATTAATTTTACACTTTGCATGATTTATAAAAAAGGGTTGCAGCCAAGGGTACTGTGTGCCTAAAGTGAACATACAGTTCCTTTGCATCCTGGACATCACTGTGCAGTTGAGTCTTCACCTACCAAATGTTTGCGGAGGCACTTGCTTAGGCTAGAGCATGAAAAACTAGCAAAGCTCTTTGGGATGTTGCAGGTTTACTGTGTTGAGTTATACATTCTGGTACACATCTTTAAGAATCATTCCATTGAAGTTAAGAGAGTAACATTGTAAATGAAGACGACGCTGTAGTGATTCTGGAAAAGAAATGTTCAATATGAGTTCTCAACTGCTGAATGAAATTTTGTTATAGCATTTTGCTACTTGATTCTGTGCCATCAAGCTCTTGGGGAGCAATTAATCTTTGAAAAAATGCAACATTAGAATTATGTTAACACTGAAATAGAATATTATAATCTGTCAGAAACTGTTATTTTCTCTTCTAGGAATTTTGCTTTAAATTATCAATAAGGTAGCAATAACAGTACAGCTAACTCAATTATTCACATTGTTACTTAGTTTTAAAAACCCCATCTAAAACTAAAATATTGTAGAACCATCTAGCACCTAATTACTTTGTTCAGCATATTTACGTATCCAGTCTTTCAGCAGTTAAAGAACTGCTTTGGGAGTGAGAGAGAGCACTGCAGTGAAACCCAGTTTTATTTACATTGTCCTGCAGTAGTCTCCAAGCATAAGGCTGTCCCTAAAGCACAGGAGGCAAAAATTTTCACTACGGTGACTGATGTCTGTCTGTGTGGTTTCTGGGTTTTTATCTGTTTGTTTTTCCTTTAACTCGTAGAACCACATCACGGCCTTTGCAGAAGTCACATGATGTTGATGCTGATGTATATTCACTCCATTGGACTTCATCTCTTTTCACAGCCCACACACGATAATTACAGTGTATCAAAAATAAGAAATTTTTAGGAGTCCTATTTCTGACTTGATTTTTACGTCATTAAAATGATACAACATTTTGAAGAATTCTTAAATATTAGACGTCACTTTACTTTCTAGCAAAAATATTAACTGTTTACTTTTTGATGGAATGGGACAAACTGAGCACCAATTATATTTATCTGACAATGCCCTCTATTTTGGCTTCTCATTGTTTTTAATGGTTCATGTACCTATTCCAACAGTACTTCATATTTTGATTCAACTTTTGGTTTTTAAAATCTACATTTTTAATTCAGCATGATCTTGTTTCCATTTGAGGCAATTTCAGTATATAAAAACTAGACATATATTATGTTCTGTATGAAAATGCTGTTTGCACATTGTATTACGCTGTATTCCATGTAAGATATCATTCAAAAAGTATGTTATATGTAAGACTGGTGCTTCTGCTTTTGAAGAGAAAAGAAAAATGCCAATTTTTACTGTAATAAGTATTGTATCATAATTAAAAGTTTATTTATTTGGATATTTTCCTGACATAATTGTAGTTGAATTGTTGTTTTGTAGTTCTTGAATGTCTTGGATGATATATATGTATCTAGGTTAAAAGAAATGAAAATAATATAGAAAGTTTGATCATTGATATATTCTTTATTACTAATGATATCCCATGAAAGGTTAAGGGCTCCATTCTTAGCTCAGTATATCTGATGGGAAGCTGTGCTATTCATAAATTGTTTAAACAAATTATTCAAGGAAGCCTCTATCTTCTCATATTTGTTGTACACCCTGATACTATGCTGGGAGAATGGGTGCTAACATAAGAACTCACTGGCCTAGTGAGAGAAGTGCATATGAGTTTCTACTCTACATTTTCATGTTGGAGCACTCATGGAAAAAAAGAAAATGGCTCCATTAATTTTCTTCAGCCTAAGTGACGAGAACAGGCAGACTTTCTCTCTAAAAATATTTCTGCCTCTGTCTGTGTTTCAGGGCCCTATTCTTGGAAAAAAAAAAAATCCCCTGTCAGTCTGCATGGTGTTGAAGAATTGATTTTTCTTCAACATCAGGCAACATTACCGTATCTCTGTAACTGCTGTGATCTCTGTAACTGCTGTGAATAATTAAATTGATCCTCCCCTTCAAAAGACAGCCTTGCTGGCTATTCATATTGAAGCTGTCCTATAAACATTGAACACCAAACGGATTTGAATATTGTAGATGCTGAAGATGCTCTTAACATCTGGCAAAGTTTTACTCTGGCAACATCTGCTATGACATTAGCACTATAGACACACTGAGAATAATGTTCAGTGGAGGCTGTGGAACATTCTAGATTTTTTCCATAATTCAGTGTATTTCCTGTGTATTACCCATAGTTAGAAAATGTTTGAAACATAAGTCTGTAGAATCAGGTATTCCCACATAATCATCCAGATAACACCTGATTCTTACTTTTTATTTTAAGCTCTGCTTTTGCTAAAATACAACTGCCTAGCTCGTGCTTGGCAAACAGGACAACACTAAGTCATCTTTGAGTGCAGTAGAGCATATCTCACAAAGTCATTGTGCTAAGCTCAGAATTAGAGAATAAAGAAATACATCCGTGGGACGAAAAGTCCTAGAATAGAGCCCTTAGCTACAACAGTGTTACTTAGGGGATTGAAAATCCACCTTTATTAGACTATCAACTGTGTTTACAAAATTGTAGTAGGTCCAAAGTTTGTATCACTGTGTTAGACACACTTACCCTTCTCTTAGTCTAGCTATTTAGGGTCCAATGTACTAATGATTTCTCTGTGTGCAGATTTAAATGAAATCTTCACTCATTTTTGCATGGTAGCAAACCTGCATTTTTTTTTTTATATCTGATTTATAAGATTATCAAGAGATTCTTTTATGTTAAAAGAGATGACTCTTTTTCAGTGTACTGTATATCATCAACTTGTAACTAGTCTTTTTCTCTCTCAGGATCTTTCCCAGTCAAATATTTGGGTTAAATTTATCATATTATCTCTGTGAACCAGCAGTGAGAAAACAAAAAGAGAGACACTCTGCTGTATAATGTATTTTTAAATAAAATAATTTTTCATTCATATGTAGTGTATTTTTTTTTAGATATCTGCTCTAGATATATTTTGGTTGATAGTGTACATGTAATGAAACGATTAAGTCACCTGCACTTGGTGATATATTTTCACAATTAACCAGGAATCCCTACAGTTAGCTACCTTCCCTTAGAGGTGGTTCTGGTGAAAGTGAAAAGCAGGAGAGGAAGAGCTGTATTGCAGAAGAGTCCACAGCCTGCTGGTGAAGGACTCTCGCCAGGATGTGGACCAGCCAAGCTCCAGACACTACTTCGATTTTCAGGAGTGGCAAGAATTTACCTCTCCCACAGCCATATCTCTCTGCTGCCCTGGAGCTTGGGTCTTCACTCTTCCATTCTGGACCTGAAAAATCTTTTGGTAGGCAGTTTGCCAAAACAAAAGTAAGTTGGCATTTTCTGAATAAAATGGGGTTTGGTGGTTGTTTTTAAAAAAATCCTAGTGAGGAGTCAATGACAAACAAGCATCATCGCTTATTCAGGGAATATTCTGGTGCAGAGTGGTTCCGAATAAAACACTGTGGTTGAACCATTTCAGTGGTTTTGAATGCAGCTGGTTTTATGATCCTTGTAGACCTTTTCTGTGTGTACTTCAGTGAAACAGCGCCACTCTATTTATAAATGAGATGTTTAAGGCGCATCTCTAATGCTATATGCTGCTGTGTTCCTAAAAATGGAACTCATAAGGCATACAAGGACACCAGCTGGGCTCATATCCATACCATTTTAGATTCCCTTATATGTATTCTGCTGTTTGTTCGTAATCATGAACTGCATAAGACATACGGTGATAGCATCTGGGCTCACATCTCTTCAGCTTTTAAAAATGTTCATTTTAACAATATGTATTAAAAGAGGATAATGTTAGTATTTCTCAGCTGCAATTTTCTTTGCTGGTTGCTGTCGCCTTCTAATTTTGTTGCTGTCCAAGATCACAGTGAGTGTGACAGTCCATTTGCACATTATGTTAGCAGGGAGCTTTTTATACTCTTCTGAAGTCTAATTCTGGTATTTCTGAGGCTTTGCAAAAGGCAGAGGGCACTACATTTTAGGAACAGATAACCTAAATTTGTTTTGATCACATATATTCCTGGCCATCTGCATAGCCTTGGCCTTTGGGGACATGTGGGAGCATTTGCAGGCAGACCTCTCAGCTCTGCAGCACCTCCCTCAGAGCACACCAAGAGCATTTCCACCAGGCTCTGCCTCTGACAGCTGACTCGACCCCAACACACCAGACATTCCTTCTGTACACCAGCATTTTTCATCTCCCCTAAGTACCTTTGCGAAACTGGACGGATCAGGCAAGATACCATGCCGTCATACAAGCGTGACTGCAGCGGCTGCCCACTTCTCCCTTGAATAAGTGGAAAGTGAAATGAATGGGGTCCTATTGTGATTTCAGCATTTGGTCTTCTCACTTTCTAGGCCTTTTGGTTTTCAGGGACTTCCACAAAGGGAAGTAAAGAAAAGCTTCACAGTCTCTGCCCACTTAAACCTCAGCTGCATGCTGCCTAGGGTTGTGCAAGCTTTACTCTTGCTCTTGGTGACCTGGGACTTTCCACTAAAGCACAGTGTTGCCTTTTTGTCATCCTCTCCTGTGTGGGGATGGCAGAAAAAGCTCCTTAGAGTTTGCAGGCTTGACCTGATGTTCTGGGAAGAGGAAACAGTGAACACCTCAAAAATACTCCTGTCAGGGTGGGAATTGGAAGCCCTAGTGTCACTCTGTGATTAATCTAGTCATTTCCTCAGCACTCAGTTGCCATGCCAAGGTGTGACTCTAATAGGTTTGCTTTTGATATTAAACTGCCTTTATTTACCTCATCACAAAGCCCCAGTCCATTTCTGACATAGAGGATTAGGTGCTTGGTTCCTTGCTCACTACTGGAGCTTGTTCTCTCTCTGTAGAGAATCCTGGGAAGTGCAGCATATCCTATATGAAACCTGTTCCCAGTGTCTGATGAACACTATTCCAGCGAAGTTCATGGTAAGATAGCTGTGAAGTCTAGCTTCAAAGATGCGTAGCTCCTACTTGCCTAAAAGGGATATCGTGATCTGGGCATGTTTGATGATCAGTCTAGCTGGAAACAACTGACTAGTGCCCAGGCTTCAACTACTTTTTTTCTGAAGATGATAGTTCTCTGCCTATCATGTCTTTGAACTCAAGTTCTTCCATTCCAGATGTCAACTCCAGATACTACATTCTGCTGTGAGATGTAAGGGGAGAGCGGCTGTGTTCATCAGCGGACCATTTTAGGTACCCTGAAATGTTTTCTGCTCTAAGTCTGTTACTAGCTGTGTAAAACATTTGCAAGTAAATTAATCTAATGGAATTAGGACAATTTAACTCTGAATAAAAGTGTACACCACAAGGTTTGATATGATTCTAGCTAATCCACAGCAGATCTCTAGCTAATTTAGATAAACTGCTCTGAATTTTCCCTGTGTGGACAAATCCTAAACCCTTTTCTTTCGCAAAGGAGCTCTACTGTTGTAATATCTTCCTCTAGTGACTACAGCCAGAACAGCATGTGGCAGCCAGCTTCCTGAAGTGATCACATCAGCAGAATACCACCTCTAAGTTATGTACCTGTGGGTGCAGAGGACTGCTCTTGTGCTCTGAAAGTGATTAAGAAGACACAATGATAATCTCCAACTGTGAAATTACTGAATCCATCCTCTACGATGAGGGCTTCAGTAGAAGTCCCAATAAAGAGTTTTTAGTTCTCAAAACCAAATTCTTTGCACCAGTATACTTCGGTGACAACATTCAGATCTAAATAGATAAATAAAAATAAGAAACCAAACCCCTTTTCTGATAAATCTCTCCCTAAATAACAACGTTACACATAAATATATACTCTGTGCAGCTTCGGGGAACTTAGCTTTGCTGTCAATCTTTAATGTGGTTCTGAATGTAAGATCCTTGAGTTGTGAATTCCTAGAATTGCTCTGAAGTAGGCAAATAACCCTAAAAAAGAGAGTAAACATGTTCTACAACTGTAAAAGAAGAACTGAAGAGCTATAAAATGAGAAGGAGATGAATTTCAGAAGCAGGAAAAATGCCTTCTTGTTACCAAATGTGCCAACTTGAGGTAGATTTGCTATATTTTTCTAACTTAAAAATCAGTACTTTAGTGGATGACGTCTACATTTTTTTAAATACTGCAGTAGAAGAGAACTGCTGCTCTTAGTCTGCTGTTTCTGCTAGAAATCATCTGCTGTTTCATCCTCTTTTGCCACTGTTGCTTAAGGAAACAGCTACTGTTCCTTCCTTAGCAACCTCTATTTATGCAGTAGCAACTGAAAACTTATTCTATTCAGATATTCTAAAAATAAGTCTGATGTGATGAGAATGAAATACTTATTTAGGAAAACAAAAGAAAAACTCCCTTTAGCTTTCAGTGAAGACAGGGGACTTGAAGCTAATACTAGTAGGAAACACCAGGAGTAAAACTAGACCATTGCATTTTGGCAGTACTTTGCATTGTTGTCAAGACAAGGTGATAGATATTTTTTAAGATAAGTACCCATTTTTTTTCCTGAGCAATTAGATAAAACATTATGAGGATGTAGTCTTGGAGCATATTGTTTTCCAGAGAGAAAAGGAGAATGTTCTTGGTTTTGTATTATATTTATTCTGTGGAGTCACACTCAGTGAACACCAGCACAGAAGAGGGGGAATAGAAAGACAAAACAAACTATATATTGTCAATGGAGGGTGAGAGCCTTCCTACGCTGAGTCTTTTTAGGAAAGAAACCAAGTGAGTAAGGACTTGATATCAGCTGATTATGTGACAGAATTGTGTGATGCTGGGTCTCCTGTGGGAATGTTGCCTGCTTACAATGTATACGTTTCAGTTACCATTTTGCTTAGAAGAACAGATAATCACGAGATGTTTGATCTTTAGTTCTTTGTCAGATTAAGAGAAGTTGGCACTCCCATGGCATTGGACACTGTGCTGCTGCTTCTATTTGCTGCCTGATGACCTGCCTTCTCTGCATATTTAAGGTAAAAGTCTGTATTCTGCATTTTTGAATGAATAAAATGGAATTTTCTTCAGGAATCTGGTGTTCTGCATGTAGAAGTTAAGAAAATCTCTCTCAAGGATGTAATTTGTTTTGAAAATTGGGATTTTAAACTCTCTTCTACCTGTATATTGTTATAAACCTGAAACTAAAAGCTTCTTGTAGTTGAGGGGAGGAGTCACATCTACAGGCTCAATGGAAGAGCCAGCTTCTGCAAGTCTTGAGCACTGCGATGGGAGATGCCACAAGGTTTTGGTCACCTACAAGGCTCGTTATGACCTTCTGGATCTCAAATGTGTAATTTGATTTTCAAATGTACCACTCACTTCAGTATGGCTGTGCTTTCAATTGGAGGGAAGATTGCGGAGAAATACACATGTCAACACAAAGGAGAACAGTACTAAAACTTTCCTATTCATCCTCACTGGCCTTTATTGTTACATGGCTCTGTTCTCTGTCTGCACTCTTTCACTCTGCTTCTCGTGTTTGTCTTTCTTATTAAATGTTACATACTACTGTGTCACATTGTGTAATAACCAGCAAGTGTAGTTGGACTTAGGCCTTTTCCAACATCAAATGGATTTCTCAGGTGCAGATATGAATATGAAAGTAGAAAAATGTGGTGGGGTACCAGTTATTTAATGGGAATAGAGCAACAGCAGAAAATGAGATTGTTTCAGAAAAAGGGGTAAGGAAATTTTGGTAATAAACATGAGTGAGATAATCTAAGTTAAAGGCCTGAATCTGAATACAAGTGAAATTTCAAAGGATGTAACGTGCAATGACTATAGACAGTGGATGAGAATTTCCTATACAGCTGGTAAAGCAAACAGATCATAGTAGATTAATTCACCACACTGCAAATCCTACAGATACTGGCCTGACAGTCATGTTTACAGGCACAAGTATGGCCTGAATTTGTGACGAGTCGCAAATAATGGGAAGGGAAAGATGTGCAGGACT